AATGTAAAACAGAATTGTACTTGCACCCCAAATTTACCACATATACCGATATGTACAAAACAATCTAAAACACATATACACAAATTTTTACATTTAGAACAAATACTATGTTTACAACAAAACCAATGTTTTTATTTTACTCCTGGAATCATCGCATATCATTTTTATCAAAATGCATTTTCAAACAAAATTACTTAAATATGCTAAAAATAACTTAAATTTGCCACATTTTAATAACTTTAGTACTATATTGCTTGAATTATCAACCATACTTGAAATAATTTTGACCAATTTTCAATTCAAAATGACCGCCATATTAGGATTTATTGCTAAGGGATAATCATCATAAATTTTGTCATTAACAAGTAACTGTCCATTTATGCAACTTTTTTTTAATTCAATTTGTAAGGTGATTATTGCCAACGGCATCTATATTTGACCTCATAGTCAGTTGTACAGTGAAAGCTAATCTAAGGAAGGTTATGGGAAGCATCAAAATCCATGCAGATTTCTATTTCTACAAATATATCTCTAGCACCACACAATCTTATGCTTGCCGTTGATAGTAGGATGAGTTTGCCATCAATACTATGATGGGCTTTCGTTTGATAATATTTCGTCGCCAGTGGCAGAATGGCCTGCTTAGAGAACACGAGGGCCCTCTAATAACAAAAACATGCCAAGAATATGGATAATAAAGTCTTGAAGTGTTTCACCACAAAATGGCAGTGTTAGGTGGAAGAGACACTTTCAGTGTTCTAATCCCAAGGAGCTCTGGGAAGGAGAATGGGGAAGCATATGACCAGAATTGACCTCTGAACTATTGAACTCACCTCAGGACATTTTCCTTGTGTTTGGTCTACAGTGATAATCATATTAGTCATCACAAAAAAAGAACTGTGCATCTGAAAAATAATCAAATATTATCAATTCTGTTTTAGAACACTAGATTCTGGTAACAATAATATTAACAAAATATCTTGATGAAGTGAAGGCACTCATTTTTAATAGTACATATCATGTACAATTGGTCTATACACCCCAGTATTTGCCATGCCCACATTTCACAATGAACTTTTCATAAAGTTTGACATACTCAAATCCTTGAACAATCCTGTCGTTGGACACCTGTATTTCATATATTATTAAGTTATATATTATTATTATATATGATCAGGATGACAAAAATAACACCCTCTAATATTTTTGGCCTTGATGGAAATCCACTGATATAGAATTCTTAACCGTTTGAGTGCCTGTTAATTTTTACGCCAAAACTACAGCGCAAATATTTTCACATTTTGCAAAATTGTCACTAAATTTCATCATCATTTTGGCCCATCCAAACAGCACCAGTTACGACACTAGTCAGGTTTTAGGAATAAAGAAGCCAAAATAAGTGATATCACCATGGCCATACTGATATTTTATATCAAAAGAATAACAAACTCCCCACAATGCCATATTGGATTAAGAGTTAAAATTGACTCCTGGTTCAAAATGGTGCTGTGGGTTAACCATTACTGTATTAGTAATTAGCGACTAAATGTATCAGTAATATTTAGTAATCATATAAAACAATACAAACTATAGAACAAATAGAACTATGCTTGCATTCATATGCCATAATCTTTTTACCTGTGGTGGTATAACATAATCTGCCACATCCCATAGTCTATCATACGGTGTGGTATCGTCCACCGTCAAGTTAGCTGGATCCACATTGGACAGATTGGTATAAGACACGCCTTTTACTTTGGTGGTTGCCGTACTCACAACATCGTCAAATTCCTGGTAACCTTTCTGATAGACTATAACGTATCTGTGAAGAAAACAAAAACTGTGACTATATATATATATATTTATATTAATGTTAAAAATTTTTTACAATAAACTTACTTTTTCCTGGTTCAAATCCTTTTGAAAACTCAAGCTGTCATAGCAATGCATTCTAATTGTATCTGAGAAAATGTTCCTATCTATATGCATTGCTTGAACTCATTTTTTTTTCTTGTCACATGCCTATAGTTACGTTTATGTTGTGAGTAATAAAGATTTAATTCATATTTCGTTGAAATCATCACTGATATGATGTGTTGCAATCAGGGTCACTGGAAATGTAAGGAGAGCATACATCAAGGGATGTCACGTTTTTCAAAATGTTTTTGTTGTTGTTTTTTTAATTCGGTTAATAATAATGATTTCCATCCTGTGTTTTTCATAAAAAGTTTGAACACGAATTAAAAAGATACAAATTTAAATCTTGTTTTGAACACCAAGAATTGAGAGAGTTTTTACAATTGTAGATCAATCGTTTAAGAAAGCCAGTTTGTATTGACACCAGGCATGAACAGTTGATTTTACAAATACTGTTGAGAAAAGTGACAAAACATTAGGGCAATGTTTTGGTTCTGGTTATCTTCCAAAATAAGACTTGTTATCCAAAACATTGGCCAGCGTGATTGTTCAGATAACTACGGTACTAAATACAGTGGGCGTATTGAAATATTTTTGATAAGAGTTATCTGTTTAAATATACAACAAATATTTGACCCTCAGTGTTAAACTTTAAAAGGCTAAAGTCTTTTCCCCCTCTTGACAAATAAACCTGCATTTTTGTTTTTCAGATTTGATCTGTACAAATGAGAAATTATATTCCTTTCGTTAAAATTTAATAAAAAATTATAGCTACAGATGTAAAAAATTGCAAAAGTTATACTAATTTTATGGATGTGTAGTTTTGATATTCAAATAATTAATTGTTATCAAAATTAATTAAATTGACAGCTTTAGGTGGTATGCTACTCGAAAATAAAAATGATTTCACAATTTTATAATAATAAAGATAGTTATAAAAAAATGAAATAATTCTGTCCATACAGACTAGGAAGCAGTGAATATTTGCTTGCATTTAGGCCTACAATTGATGTGAGTACATATGTGAAAACGTGTATCTGTCGTCAGCGTGTTCATTTCAAAATATTCAAATTCAGCGAGTGAAAATTGAAACCCTGTCACGTAAACATGTCAGATCTATATGAACAAAGTTTTGTTTGAAAGAATATAGTCAAAATAAAATAAAGAAATTGTACATTGTACACAATTGACTGGCACAGTGCATTGTTCGATTTCAAATGCATGGGCATAGAGATTTTACTCATGTAGTGTTTTGCATTTGTTTCTCCCCAATGCTCAGAACAAATGATAATTCAGAGCAGTTTACTTCTTTGCAAAAATTTAACTTCCCAAGCTGCCAATCAAGGAAACTATTAGGTAATTGTTAGTTAATTTCATTTTTTAAATTTTATTTGGCACATATTTTTCCAAAAATTAGATCTAAAAAAAAATAGGCTACATATTGTTGACAAATACCCAAAATAAAAAAAGACAATTTTAAAATATTTATATTTGAATATTTGCCCTATAGAAGTGTGTGTAAACTAAACATTGCATTTATTTTATGCAGGATCATTTAAATATTACTTATCTTGACCACAGAAACACATTTGATATTTGCTAATGCAGACACTTCAGAATAATTGACATTCAGTGTATCTTAGTTTACAAATACATTGTATCTAGAAAAGTATACATTAATTAAAAACTAACAATGTAACACTGCACTTGTTACCAGTATTAAATTATTATTATTATAAACAGTGTATGGTGACAGCTGATGCCCACAATGAAGTACTTCCATTTGCAGTGCTCAGTATTTTCTTTTTGTCATTTAAATATATTAGTCACTGTGAACTCCTGTCTATGTAACAGCATTTCTCACTGGAACCAAATTAGAAAATTATAATACTGTAAAATGACTAATTTTCACTGGGTTCAAATTTTGCTGATTTACCATTTCAGGCATACTCATCGAGTTTAAATTCACAGTTTTATCATTTAGATAATGTGTTCTATGCTAAATTTGACATATTCACTGGGTTTTAATTTAGCGCATTTTCCAGTCAGTGAAATGAGCAAAATTAAAACCCATTGAATAATTAAGCCTTTTACAGTAGTTAATTTGCACTAGCTAGTTTACAATTAGTGGAAATAGCTAAACACTATAAGTTTAAAACAATTATAAACTGAAAATATAACTACTATATCTGTAGAAATATAATTATATTGTAATTATTTTTTCATTAATTTATGTATTTAATAACCATAGCCATGCTGTTCTATGCAAAGGCTTCAGCTGGTTTTAAGGTCATAGTGGATACCACTGACAACATATGTTAATAGGATTTAATAATTAATTATAAACTAAAACACAGTAAGTATGCAGGTACCTTGTAAACATCATAATTACTCATGTTTACTATACCTGCATTCTCCATTTACACATGTATTTGGATAAATATTTCGACATGACTAATTATAGAAACACAGCTACCCTTCAAATATAATTATGATGACTGTTTTGTGTTGGAAACAAATAAGGGGTCAAACATTTGAAATCACGAGGGTGGCTGGATGAGTGTGCCCAATGATTTTTTTAAGAGTGTTTTATTTAGTTTCCCGAATGTGCATTTTTACTGCAACACCTGGCATACATTTTTTACATGATTTAAAAGGATCGACCCCTTGTGTCCGCCATTGATTACAAGAAGGAAATGTCGAGATATTCAGCAGTGGAGGTGGAAACGTGTGGCCAGTTTTCAAATAACTTTTATTACAATGAGTTAATATATAAAAACTTGATCGAAATAGCGCTATGCAAAAATCTATCATAAAATGGCAACAGACTACAACCAGATTACAGTATGAATTAGTCACGGTGGTCACCTGACGTCCGATCAACACCATATTACAACTCGTGTAGGCGTAAACTTTAAAAGGGTACTCTGCTAGCTACTAAACAGACTGGCTAGAGCACGCGATTGTTATATCACCGATACAGGAGATCGACGTTGGCTGTACAGCGAAACACCGGCTGGACTGGTTTGCTGATTGATGCCGATTATTGCAGTAGAAATCACATGATAAAATCTCATCGCGATATCGGTGAAGGCTTCACACAAAACAAACTTACTTACCCGACGATGTAACTTATGATTACTAACTGTATTAACCTGTTAATAATCCCAACTTTCTTGCTCTTAATATGAACTATTTTTGGAGTGTCATACTCCAACGCCGCGTCAATAACAAACCGACACCATTGTGGAGCCATTTTCCATGGTTTCGATATCGATTAAGGCGCAGAATAACCTTTTCAAAGTTCAAAAACGAAAGCAGCTTCAAAATTTGAACTTGCGAGGGCGATCTTCAGGTCTACGAAAACGATCTGATTTTCAATCCAGCGGATAAGCAATCTGAAAAAAATAAGATCCTGGTTGGCTTGATTTTTTAAAATTTTTTTTAAAATTGTTTTTTTATATAATTACTATAATTATTATTTATTTTAATTATTTACTATCATTATTATTTATTTTAATTATTTTTTGACGTTACAATTATTTTGCTGCAAGAATGGTTTTGTTCGTGAAAGCCAACCAGGATCTTATTTTAATCAGATTGGCGGATAAG